TTTTTTTTTTTTTTTTTGCATTAAATAAACGCATATAATTGTAATTAACTTTTGAGAAACCTCAATTAAATCCTTCACAACATTTAGAATTTTAACTCACTTTAAGATTGAAAAATGTACAGTTTTTACTTTACTTTTGAATTATCAGATGTGCATCTATTGAAAAGATTTGATTCAGCTGATGAACTGAATATTTTGATTCCTCCTTGATAATGATAATAGTTAACTCGATGACTGAAAACTGAAACCACTTTGCTTACTGCTTTTAATTTATACTAAACGGATAATCTATAAGTAATTTCTCTTGCAAGTAATTGCACTTTTTTTGTGTTTTGTAGGAAACTTCTATGATAATATTCTTTCTTTTGATAAGTGCTTCATTCACTATTATAAAATGCATTTTTCAGATGATTCATTCTGAATCTTATAATTTTATTACTAAATAACTCTGAAAATTTACCAATATTTTATAGCTCTTTATATATTGCACTAAGTTCTTTTTGTTTTAAAATTTACACACTCTGCTTTTAAATATTAAAATTAATAAATCAACAAAAACCACCAAATTCAGAAGTTTAATAATCTGAAAGCATATTAAAATTTAAAAATTTGAATTCAAATTTTGATTGTTTCATTAATAATTTAAATTGCATTCTTATAGGTGAAGCGTTCGATACGTGAAAATTCAGTTGTACGATTTTTAATTACTTTATATCAATGATTTCGTACTGCTACTATTGCAAAGAGCAACAAAAACAACTTTAGATTACAAGCTGTGTATTTTGATGTCTCTGTTATTATTAATAACACAGTGGAAGTATGATAAACAAATTTTCATGTATTTAATTTAATAAATATTGCTGCATCAACAGCATTTGAATTTTATTACTTTACAAATATAAAGAATACTGCAATGAGAACTTCGATATTTACCAATTATAATTGGCTATATGGGAAGTAGGAAGATGGTGCTGTTGCAGCAAAAGTTGATGTTGCCACCTTGATAACTGCATGTATATTAAATAGTAGATATCTTACAAATACCAGCTTATCAATCAGTAAAAGTTAGTATATGTAATGACAAAAGTCCTGAAAATTTGTTAAATTTATGAAGACGAAAAGTCATTTTTGCTTCTTTTAAAAAATTAATAAATTAGTTTGATTGTACTTGCGATACTTGAGTTCAGATTACTAAAGAAGTGAACGCGACTCTGAACAGATAAAATATGCTAATTAACAAATAATTTTACTTGCATATATGAGTGATATTAAAGTTGCGAAGAAAGTTTTTCAATAAATGCTTTTGTTTAGCTTATTGAAAATAATTTAATGTACATAAGTATGTCATACTCACTCTTTTCTTACTTCAAGAAATTAAAGTATCGAAAGTTTTAGTCTGAGCTTTTTATAAAATTACTCTTCAAAATTACTATCTCCCAGAAGTACTTTTATTAATCACATTTCTTACGTGTGATTTCGGACGTACCACGTAAAAAAATATCGTTGAACACTGACAACTTATGAAATACAGAATTTATGAAGTAAAAAGACATCTCACATTCATTGATTTGCGGTGCAATGAAGAAAATCAAAGCAACCGGCAATTTCCGCCCAATTATACATTCCTTTATACTATACTTCTATGGATGTCATTCATTATTTTTCTTGTGTAAGTTTTTCACTGAAATCGACACTTTGAATGGCTTTTTAAGTAAAATTACTTAAACTTATTCCTATTGTTAATTAATTTTTTTTTTGCTTTTTTATTATTTAAACCTTTATTATCTCTCGAAGGTTATATCTAACTTTTCTTTGTTAGGTCAGATTTCCATCAGAATTAACCGCAACCTCAGATTTATTATTTTCAGACTCTATTATTTTAAAATATTGAAAAGGTTAGACTTCTAAGTTTTTATTTCCACAAATCATTTTTTATTTTATTGATTAAACAACTAACTGTGTAACTTGATAGGATAGAATAATCAATATCTATTAATTAATAATTCTTAAACTGTTTTTTACATGAGTGTGACAAAAATGTCGTCCACTTATATGCCACATTTTACCTGGGAAAATTTGGATGTTAAACTAATTATTTATTGAATAATTGTTTGTATCAAATTTGTAGTGTACAAAAAAGCTGCCAACTTATTGAATCAGTCATCTGCAAGCTTCTGTCCCATGTTATTTTCTGCCAGACATCCATTAGTCAGATTATTCCGAACTCCTTCTATCAATCTAGCGGTGACTTCACGTGCATTAGCTATCAATAAACAGTGTATTCCCAAAAATGATGATATGTACCGTTTCAGATCTCATATTTTGCCTCAAAAAAAGGTCGCCATTTTTTTTTCTTTTTGCTCAGAATTTTTGAAGAAAATAAAAGGAAAGAATAGGTTTTAGTATTAGTCACGTGGAAAATCTGTAATAAGTTATTTACAAATATTAGCTTTTTTTATTAGTTTTTTCATGATCTGAAATCTGATCTAATGGTATGAGTATGCAAACAGCTTACTTTGCTTTTAATTTCATTTCAAGTCATATATTATATGGAATGAAGCAGTAGATGCATATTTTCTTTGTATTAATCTTATAAATTTCTTTATTTTAGGCTAAAATAGCGCGATATGGTGGACGCCATATGGTTACCTTACTTGCTGGTGATGGTATTGGTCCAGAAATGACTAATCATGTCAGAAGAATTTTTATGCATGCTGATGTAGGCACAGGAAGTTTACATATAGCAATTTTATTATTTAGATCGTAAGTCTACCGTTTACAGATTTGGTTTGCTTTAAACATCAAATTTTTTCAAATTCACACTTTGAAGTTTCAAAAAAAACTGCATAAATGAAGCACATGTGTGTAAAGAAAAATTCAAAAAAGGTACCTGTGGATTTCGAAAAAGTACGACTGGACTCTAATATTCAACCTTTGGATGCTGATATGGAATATGCTTTGTTGTCGATCCAGCGTAATGGAGTAGCTCTAAAAGTTTATTCTTTTTCTTTTTTAACTCTATTTTTTTTTGGTTTTCAGACCTACGTTTTAAATTTTGTTTTATCTACTTTTAGTATTGAAAAAAAAGCGAAAACTATTGTTTAAGTTGTTTAGGTAAATAAAAATAGTCAATAAGACAATGGACATTTTTTAGAAATTTATTTGCATATAAATTCTTATCTGAGTGCCTTTCCTCTATTATATTTGTGAAACCTAGTGAAAATAATAACGTTTGTGATGTAATCGTATTAATATATGTAAGTGGTAATTATAATACATAGGGGAACAACAAAGTAACTAAGAAGGTTTTACAAGCCATAGAAAATGATTAAATATAAAACTAAATTGAGTGTTTTCTTGCTCTAAATTTTTCATATTGTAAAATTATAAACAGACTTTAGTATTAATTTCTATCAAGATTTTTAAAAATAAAGTTTTAATTAGGCTAGAAAAAAACTAAAATTTCCCAGTTTAGCTGTTTGTGAAAAAAACTCATCTCAATAGTAACTTTATTTCTTATTAAAGCATAATACTTTTGTTGATCAAGATCATGAAATTTTTGAAGGGTAACATAGAAACTAAATTCGTTGATCCGCATTATACATCAAGAAATGTCCAACTACGGCGCTGTCTGGATCTTTATGCAAATGTTTTGCACTGTGTGAGCGTGCCATCAATTCCATCACGTCACACCGGTTTGGATATACTTGTAATAAGGTTGATATACACTTATCTTAAATAAGGGGAAAGTAGACATAATAGTTTGTGAGAAGGCGACACCATCATGAAATGCTGATGATGGTAATTTTTATTTGACAAGGACTGATAAACATACTGCTCAAATGATAAAGTTAAATTAATTTCAATCTTTCATTTTTCTTATTTACTTCAAAAACAATGTAATTTGCAGAGAAAATATGGAAGGTGAATATTCTGGACTAGAACATGAAGCAGAGAAAGGAGTTGTTGAAAGCTTGAAGGTTATTTTGTTTGTTAATTTCTAACGATTTTATATAGTTTTTTAAATCTGTGTTTTTTTATATCAGATATTCAAAGGATTCAGTTAATTTTAAAGAACAGTGCTTTCCATTACTGTTTATTATTTCCTTGATAAATTGTTTCCAGATAGTCACACGCAAAAATATAGAACGCATTGCTCGATTCGCTTTTGACTATGCTATAAAATACAATCGAAAGAAAGTAACTGCAATTCATAAGGCTAATATACAAAAACTTGCAGATGGCTTGTTTTTGAGGGTGAGCATTCATACTTCATGAGGAAAAATCATCGTTGTAAACACTTATTTCTTTGCTTATGGTATGCAGTCTTTGCCATGCATCTGGCTGATTTTTATTTTTATTTGTTTTATTCAAAAATTTGTTTTCCTACAATTTTGGTAAAAATTAGAATGCTGTGATTTTTGATAGAAACAATCTCTGCTTAATGATAATGAAAGATTTTCAGTTTGTTATAAGCTTTCTTTATGACTTCTTTTTTACTTGTAAAATTTTAGTTTAAATTTAAAATAAGTATTTCGTTTGTATTTGATATTTTTTAGATTTGTCAGAAAATAGCTGAAACCGAATATCCTCAACTCCGTTTTGAAACTATGATTATCGATAACGCATCAATGCAGCTTGTCTCCAGACCTCAGCAGTTTGATGTTATCATTTCACCAAATCTTTATGGTAATGTAATTTCGAACATAGCTTGCGGTCTTATTGGTGGAGCTGGTGTAGTTTCAGGCGTGAATATTGGTCCTGAATATGCTGTTTTTGAGACAGTAGGTTTTTACTACTTTTAAAATTCATGGTCTTTTTTATTCCATTTAGTAATTTTAAACAAAAAACATGTGTTCTTTCTTGATAACTTGATTTATTATCCAGGGGACAAGAGGAAGAGGCACGGAATTAGCAGGAAAAAATATTGGAAATCCAACTTCTTTTATTCGAGCCAGTGTTGACATGTTGAAATATCTAGGACTCGACAGTTATGCTAATTTTATCAGTGACTCCTTGTTTACTGTATTAACAAAACGCAATATTCACACAGCTGATATTGGAGGCAAGCAAATCATTTAAATTTTAAATATTTAACTTTATGAATAGTTCTGCATCTACAGTTGTCTTTTCGCCATTTTAATTTATATTTTTTAAATCTTTTAGTAAGCTTGTAGAGCCTTTTTCAAAACTTTGCTTCCCTATGGACTGTCTCTACTTTGCTCATCGAAATATTTATAAAAATATTACAAGCTTACTAATATTTGGATCATATCTTGTAACTAATGCAAATCAAAGCTAAAAGAAAACTAGTGGAGCTAAACTTGTAGACAGAATAAGCATAGCATAAAAGACTTAAGTTAATAAAAATGATATATTGAAAAGAAAAAGACTGTTCTGTAATATTTTAGATTTGACAAGCATAGCATAAAAGACTGGAGTATGAAATCAGTTTTACAAGTGTATTTGTGTTGAAACTTAGTTAACCTTTGCTACCGTTCTATCTGAAAAAAGAAACAAAGAAACTGTTTCCTTAGGTACCGCTAAAACAAGTGAAGTAGTGGATGCTACTATGGATGTAATGGACGAGTTGCGGAGTAACTATTTTGAATAACGTTACTGAAACATTCAGAGTCATGCTTTGCTTGGTTATAGCATGCATAAGTTAACAGATTTGATTTAATAAAGTATTGTACATGAAACGTTGTATATATTCTTATTAGCTGTTTCTCTTTGAGTACCGTCAGGTTGTTTTATATCTTTTTCTTTATTACCTCAATATAAATATGGTTTTTGCTTTACTTGTCTAGACAGTATTTCTGCAAAAAGTCAGAAGAATGATTGTCAGCAACAACTTCTCATCTTAAGTACGTTATTTTAGATTTAGACGAGTTGTATTCTAAATGATTAACTTTGTAACATGCGTAAGCATACTTTTTCTTCTGCATTTATCATTTCAATTATTTATCTATAGATGCATACATACCTTTTGAAATAATTAGTTTTCACAGGAGTTGTTGGTTCTTGCAGTAGGAAACTTGCTTCCGCTTCATTCACTTTTTACTTTGGTTTTTGGTGTCGCAGCGGATCGCGGAGGAGTAAGCCCAATAGTGGGAGAGAGGGGATAGAAATAGTAGTATGCATCTTTTGGTTCCACGTCACATCACGCTTTTTTAATTTTCCAAACTTTCATTAAGCAAAAATGTTATTTAATTCACTAAATCGAAAATTGGCTCTTTATATAAATAGCTTTAGTTCATTGTTGATGACATGTTTTCTAAATCTACTCCTGTTTTTGGCTAATTGTTATTCAGAGTAAGACTGAATGCTTTGCGGTCGAATATATGCTATCTTTATTACTCTTTCTGCAGTAATTTTTAGGTAGGTCTTAATTATACATAACAAAGAGTTGTGCATTTAATTTTAATAATTTTTACAATGACTTTAGATCGGAAGTGTTGTGTTAAATTAAATTACAGCAACAAAATTAAGCAACTTTGCTAGGATTGAACTTCTCGAGTATCTCCTTACTGCTGGCCAAGCATCATCCATCTCTTTATTACTCGAAATTTCATTAATTTTTATCAGCAATCAAGTGTGCACAACGTTCAGTTCTTTGATGCACCCTACAGTTTCAACGCTTATTTCAAATAAAAATTACAAATAATTTGAACAACTGAAACCTTACCTTTTTCGACTATTGGAACTTACTTTGTGCTATGCTTGATTTTTCTTATTAAAAATTGTCTTATTATTATGTGTGTTTAGCATTTTCAGCAGCGAATGAATTCACGGCAGACCGCTTTTCTTTGTATATATTTGTCTTCAGTTTTGCATAACCACAGGAATATGAACTTAAACATGCCTGAAAGTAGTTTTGAGTAATTCTAAATTGTTTATTAAAGTAACAACCATGTTGATTCAGGAGGTGTTGCTTCATGAAATATAGATAAATTCAAGCAAAAGTTGCACAAGTCAAATGGATTTGCTATATTATCAAACTAACTTTTTAAAATATGGATCCATACATTCTTGCTTGCACATTATTGCAATTTAATGATTATTTGTTTTTTAGTAATGATTGTTGAAACGTATTCTAACAATTTTTTGCTATAATTTTGAGATTAGGCACATCTGATCGATTTCTTCAAAACTCAAGTAAAAAAGCAGTAATGCTCGAAAAGAAAAGTCACATATTTATGGAAATTAATGTTATTCACTAAGATCATAATATGATAAGTATTATAAAATTTGAGTGTAAACGAGTTCGAACTTAAACTTGTTCTCATTTTTATACATTCTGGTGGACTACTCTCTCATCGTCATTTCAAGTAAGGATCTGGATTTGTTTGAAGGAATGAACTGTTCTTATGATGTGACTTCTAATCATGAATCAAATAGTAATAAGATTTTTATTGCCAGCTTAATCTGAGGCAAGGTTAATTATAAAATGGTAGCACTATATACAGAAGCGAGAAGGGAACTGCAAATGTTTGTGTGGGTGATATAGTTTAATTTGTTTTACTTTACATAATAATGTAAGAGAAAAAAAGATTTTCAGGACGAACTTTGCCAGGATTTCCCAGTGGGGCGAAGGATCACCGAAAAATGCATGGTAAACCTGTAAATATGAAGAAAAAAAAAAACAAACAAGCAAACTTTTCAAATAAGCTTGCTATTTTTTGTTTTCGCGCAAAAATTTTTCTTATATTTATGTATGCAAATGTAGAGATGATTTGAAAAAGAAAAAGGACACATTTCAGGGTTGATTTGGTAGTTTCACAATCAGCAGAAGGATTATATCCCTGGCAAACTGCATCGCAAAAACGATTTCACTACCTAGAAGAAAAGGGAAAGCATCACGTTCAATTACGATCCGCAAATTATTTCAAAAACTGCTATTTTTCACCAATTCAGTGCGTACTTGTTGAAGAGCAGTGATTATTAAGTTAATGCTGCTTTAATTCTTCGAAAGATGATGATGAATGGTGGCTATCGAATTCTTCACTCCAAACTACCATCAACAGGATTTCTCTGAAAATATAAACTTAATAATTTTCAAAATTGTAGAAAATTTTCTGAGCATGAAACCAATAAAAATCTGAGGGCTCTCACTGTTCGTCTTCAAAATGGTGTTAGTAATGAAGAAACTGTCAAGATGCGTTGATAGTTCACGGAGATTTCAGCATGATAAATCGAAAGAGTTTGATCATCTAATCAAAATAGGGTCTGCCTTCGTATCAGTTCCGATTTTAGATCATTTTGATTATATATAATAAATAAATTTGAGTACTTATTTCTCAAAAATGCTCTTTCAGAAATTAATTTTGCTAGTTTTACTCAACAGATTAATGGAAAAAATGATATCGTGTTTTAAAATAACCACGATTGTTTCAAATTTTGTCACATACAAGTATAATAATTTTACTAATTTTTCTCTAAGTGCTTTGGTTACTATATATTTTTAAAATAAGCTATTTGATACGCTTTTTTACAAAATAAGCTATTTTGGGTAATAATATAAGGTGAAAGTTGTAGTTTTTACACAATTAAAAATTTGATGAGTTTGATGAGAACATCATTTCATATGAGAAGTCAAACATTTTATACTTCTCGTATGAAACGAATCACCATTACATTCTTGAACTGGACATCATCATGATATTTCCGTTCTTTAATGCGAACATTTGAGCTAATAAACATTATCATGATTTAAAAATCAATTAGCTTAATTTTATAAAAGCAGAATTTGTTACGATAATTTATGAAGCTTTTTAAGACATAAAACTGTACAGGTTTTCACGAAATGATTTTTGAAAAATTTCAAAGTTCTCACAAAGTAAGACAAAGGTTAATGCAAGCGGAAAATCAATTTGATTTATGAACTTTCATTCAAATCTACAAACAAACAAACTTTTCTTGAACAGCGATTATTTTCGGACGCCGCGATGTAAAAATAGCTTGTTTTGTAATTTTTCTAAGCAAGGAGAATAATTCTTTGATGAAAAGAGTCTTGTTTTTGAGTGGTAGTTTGTTTCGCGCATATTACTTTATATTAAACTGCTGCACTCAGTTTACTTAGTAATAAATTGTGTATGACGAAGAAGCAGTGTGATGTCGCTATTGATTTGGTAAAAGCTTTGGTATAGTCTATGGTTTAAGTTAGCCTCTGATTCCATAGAAATACGCTTTTTCCAGTCAATGTAGTTTTGAGATATTCTAATATGCGATAGATAGATTGATTGATGGGTTGATTGACTTCACTGACTGATTGATTAACAGGAAGGAAGACAGGTGGAAAATCAAAGAGATATATCAAGATTATTCACTTTTAATTTCAGTCAAAAATGATGCAGCTTTTGTTTCAAGGCGATAATTGCGCTCAGCTTAGGCGCATTGTTATTTCACGACATAACAGGAAAGGAATTTTCAAGGAAACACTCAGATAGTAGTATATTCTCTCAGGAAAATGATTTGTCTGCAAGTTGGTGAATGAAAGCACTCAGTAACAGGTAGAGATCATTAGTCCATTCAGTTTAAAGCCTGCTCCGGAGACTATCTGCTTTCATGAATATAATGGTATGTATAATTGCTGTATTTATTATTATATATTTTGTTGACCAAAGATTGTTTGCATCTGTTTTTATTGCTTGTTGCGTATGAATTTGATGCGTATCAATTTCTTTTCTCTCTCTTTTATTTTAATAAAAAGAGTTTTGTTTATGTTTATTCACATTCAGAAAGCAAATTTCGTCGTGCCTATTATCAAAGTTACTGAGAAATGATTACGACTGCTACATCTCTTCGTCGCAATGGAGGTCATAGCACGAGGGATGAGCTTACAACTCACCACTTCTCATTTGCAAGAGGCAAAGAAAGTGTGTACAGGTGTTTTCAGTTTACGACTTCTTGATTGTAACAGTACATTCAATAAGTTGACGATTTTGTAGTTCTAAACTTTTCTGAATGTAAGAAATGGCTAAATTAAAGTAAAATGATAGTTGGATGTAAGAAACGATTGTGTGCATAGATTAAAAGTAATATTTACTCAACGAAATAAAGTTCAAGCGTGGAAACAACTACAACTGATTTGGAGTCACAGACTGGAGTGGATAATCATATACTTGTTATCAATTAAGGATTAAACATTGTGATGAAAAGTACTGCACTAAAACTTGATCAAGGCGTAGTAGGAAGTGGCAGTAGAAATGATTAATAGTAATACTAATAGTAATTAGTAATTGTAGCTGTGAGTAGTAGATAGTATTGGTAGTGAGCGACAGAAGTAGTGGTAGCACTTAGTAGTAGTAAGCAGTGGTAATGCGTAGTGATGTAAAGCAATATTAGATAGTATTTATTAGAAGTCATAAATAGTAATAACGCATTTAAAACTTTCATACTTCATGACTCGTCAAAAACCTCTTTGTTACGATAATGAATATTGCTTGATTCAACCATTCCAGATGAGGAAGAGCTTGTTTTCAGATTTCTTGCAATTATTTTTTCATATCTATCTATAATTTGCTTTTCTTCCCGTTTAATTAGTACAAATAAATGAGTGAGTAAGTCAGTAGGTGTGCGTAGCAAAATTTATTTTGAGACTGCTGTTGACTGTTTCTTTCAGATGTCATTTTACGATTACCAGATAAGTATTACACAATATTGTTTCGTTTTGCTCATTTTGAAGTACCAAATTGTAATTATATACAAAAGCTTTATTTAATGAAAATAATCTATCCGTGTGAAGTAAATAAAGTTATGATTGAATTCTGGAAAGAAAAAAAATCCTAGTGTAATTAACATTAAAAAAACGGCATGATTTATTACTTTTTTGATACTTTTTTCTTGAAGTTACCATTGGTATTATATACAACATCAAGAATTTTCTGTAGAATAATTGTGGCACACGAAAGAACATTTACAGTTTGAGAAGAGCAAATTTCGTACTTGACTGTTAATTCTAGAAAAAGGATAATAAAGTATGTAAAGTGAAGTGAATGAATGTAAAAGGCAAAATAGAGAAAAAATACTGCAGGATAATGTAAAAAAGCATTTATCAAAATTAATAATTACCTAAATTTTGATTAATGCAAAATATTCAAGTGCCCATAAAAGTTTTTGGAGAGAGAAAAATAGTATTTTTTGTGACTTTTATTTTATGATTGAGACACCGTTTGAAGCAGTCAGTTTGTAGTTTTCAATTATGTGAAGGAGTTTTTTTTTTGCATTTGATATTCTTGGAAGAATAAGAACTTGACAATTGAAATATTATTATTTTAGAAAAATTCATGAAATGCATTTAAATTATGAGTTATTCTTGATAATGATCTTGTGTATGTTATGCAAATATTCAAATTTCCTAAACATTACAGCGAATTAGTTTTTGAAACGAAACGGAAATTTATGCTTTAAAATGTTATTGCCAGTTCAATAATTTATTCATTTTAAAGCATTTTCTTTCAATTAGTCGTGTTTGAAAATTATTCTGGCTAAATTTTTCACAGTATGCTTGGAGTGTGCTTGTATGTTTGTACAACAGTGCACTACTAGAAGCTTTTTGCGTTATTGCATCAAAATTTTACCTACAAATTTTTCAAACGATGAAAGATAAAAAACTTGAAATTATGCAAATTTTTTATTCACTTTCAAAAAAAAAATGCAAAAATTCGCTGTCTTTATCAAATTATGGTTTTAATAATGTTGATAGCAGTTTAGAAAGTCATTTTAAAAAAATCGAAAGAAACAAAAGAATCATCCCAAGCTTATCTTAAGTCTTTTGAGTATTTTTATTCTAATTTAATTGCACTTCATAGTTTAATGAAGCTAACACTTTAGTTTATTCGTAAAGAGATAAGTGTTATTGTAGAAACAAATGATTCGGAAATAATTTTAGAAAGGAACAAATTTTTATTATTGCTGCTATTTGTATTGCTTCCAGTATATTGCACAACATTTGTGAATTTGATTTCATCTTACTGTCAGCTGTTTGATTCTTTCTTAATTTTTAGCAATCAGAACCTGTGCAAATCTATAGTTATCAAATTTTTAAATTTAATTTCAATCAATTCATTTATTTACGGTAATTTATGCATTATATTAATTTATTAAGTGATCTGCATGTGTGTTTGCGTGAAAAAATGTGACTTGAGCAGATTATACTTTTGTGATAATCTGATTAACTTCAAAATATTATAAATTTAAGAAATCAAATTTTAGTGCTTATTTAATTCAACAAAGTATAGTTGTATTTTCTTTTTGCAACAAAAATAATTAAATGATCCAAATTATATTCTTGGAATCTTATATTCAAAGCTAACATTCGAGTTTAGGAACTGCAGTACAATGAATCAAGCTTTCATATAATAGACATTATTTTTAGGTTATTACTGAGAAAAAATCTTCTAAGTTATAATATCGATCGTAATTCCGAGCTCATTACTAACTAATAAAAAGTGATGTTTGAATTATATTTTTGCTTCTATTTTAAAATATTTGAGTTACAATTTTTCTGACTTAAAATATGATTAAATTGAATCTAAATATTAGTCCGCCATCAAAAAATTTTAGAAACAGAATGATACTTTGCGTGATCAACTCTCTCGATCTTGTAAAATATCTTTCATCTTTTAAACATGTTCATATACTTCGAAATTCATTTGCAAGTTATTCGTTATTACTGTTCCAGTTACAAGCCCAAAGTAAATTTTACAGAATATTTAAAATTAGCAATGCAAAACTTTGAGAAATTCAGTCTTCTCTGGTTATTTTGTGAATAATATAAAAATAAAGTCATTTTCAACAAGTATCAGAACTTGGTAGCTAAAACTTTTAGTGTTTTCGACCAAAAAACTAATGAATAATGTTCATGCAAGAAAAATAATAAAAAACTTGAACTTATAAGCACTGTAGTCGATAAAAAAAGCAATTAAAACTTTAAGAAATTCATCGTCATGAAGCTAACCAATATTAATTTATATTTCCTTAGCAATTTTTTATCATTAATAATTTATAACTTAAAATTTTCATAACAACAGTAGTAAGTCATCATATACTTTCGTCTCATAACTTTGGATAAAATGGAGAATGCAGATCTAAAATATTGGACTTGGAAATTAGCATGCTGACAAGGATTATATAAACGCATCACAGTTATGCTTTGCTTGCCTC